CACGCTTCCGAAATGTTGAAGAAGTGCGAGAATGGGTGGACGAATGGATTGCTTCGAAACAAACATCGTTTTATCGAGATGGTATCGCCCAGTTGCCAGAAAGATGGCAAAAAGTTGTAGAAAGTGATGGAAAATACTTTCATTGAAATAATTTAAATAAATTTTTTACAATAAATGCTTTTTCTCAGTATTTTTTGGGCGGAAACTAAGTTAAGGTCCTAATAGAAATAGCAGTATAAATTAAAATATAGAAATAGTAAATTTGATAATCTACTTATTCTAGTATGTATATGTACGATGCAAGAAGCATTTAAGCAATTGCAATAATTTGTAGTAGAAAGTTCAACGCGCATAAGATTTTTAAACATGTATATATATATATATATATATAGAGTAATTTTATAATAGATATAATTTTATGTGGTCTCCAAGATTACAGGAACTTTGTTGTAATTTTACTATTATATTTTCTATTGTGTAAAAGTTTCAAGTAACAAGACGTACACCACTTTCGAAGGGAACAACTCATTTACTCGATTCTCGATTCACAAGTCTCCCACGCGTACGTACTCGCGACTGCAGCTGCGCTCAAGAGCTTCTCGTATTCCACGAGATCAGCTTGAGAATGCGTGGAAACTGCGAGCAAATATCGCACGCGACAACACGCGGTTCGCGGCATGCGAGCGACAGCTGCGGTTTCCGACGGCCGAACGTTGGAAATGAACGCGATGTTCCGATATCTCGTCGCGGCATTAAAGAGAGAGGAGATGGATCACGACGACCGATAATGATAATGGTTGATGATCTGATGACGCAGCATGCGACATGAACGTGCACAAGAGGTGCGAGGAGAGCGTGCCGAATCTATGCGGATGCGATCACACCGAAAGACGTGGTCGTATACACCTGCACATCACGTGTTCCGGTAGCAAGCTCAATATAGAAGGTACGTATCGACTTGCACTGATTTCATGCTCGCATATTTCCAGCACCTTTTATCTCTCGACTTTTCTACCCGTCGCATTTTCCGAATTTTCGGTGAAATATACCCCAAATATACAATCTCATATACTCAGCGAAATTCTCTTCTCTACACTGAGAGAAAGAATATTCAAGAAATAAGAAATATTTATTTCGTGGATACTAATAACTATTTACTTGTACCAATACATGTATTTTTACACAGAGAAAACGTTTTTTTCCAAATGAGAAAGTATATATTTTTCTGAAATCGTTGAATCTCATGAAAACAATTGTCCATTCTACTTAAATAAAATAATTTAAATGTGTTATCAGTAGCTACACCGAATAAATATTCTTCAGATTTTTTCTCTCAAATGGTTTCTTTCAAAATAAAAAAAAAAATATTTTAAGCACGATATTATTCCTTTTCTCTCCCATTTTCTCTTTTTCTTTCTAGAAGAGAAATACTCTGATAATATGGGATTACATGAAATAGCACTTTGCAATTGCAGTCCTTTTTTCGAATATTTCGGAATATTTTCCTTTTGGTTTTAGAACGATCCTATTGAGGACATAAGAAGTGTTCGTAGAGGATTATATTTTTTTACTATTTCCACCTTGCGAAATTACTTCAATCTTCATCGTACTGCTGCTACATTGACAATGTTATGTAATATTTGAACTAATAGAAAATGTTGCCGAATATATTGATTACACGATCGTATGATTTGCAATAGTATTTTGCAGCAATATACAGGCAGGTTAGAATTTATGTGCCAGTTGTATTTTCTCTATTCCGAGACGCGAAAAGGAGAGATTGCGGCAAGAAAATTGAAAATGCAAAATGCACGACTGCCCCTTGTAATAGCTTTCCACGGTTCTGCGAAGAGAAAAATCGAGAATTCAATGTTGTATCAAATTAAACGCACGCAAAAGTGGATATATATATATATATATCTATATATATATATATGTATTAAGTTGTGTTGCATAATTTCTGCTGTATTTTTGAATAAAATTAAAAAATTGATATAATTTTGAAGAATTTAGGTAATGAACAATATATTGACTATTATTATTTACAACTTGTAAAGGTAATATACAGCCAAACTAGCGGCACAGTTAAAACACAAATCTAATAATCTAATAATAATACTTTTGCGCGTCCAAGATAAGTGTACGAAATTATGCAATAACTTAATAGATAAGAAAATCTCATTTATGTCGACTTGTGTGTATCACAGTTTTACCCCGAACGGTGTAAAAATATTTCACACCGACCTTTTTCACGATTTTTCCGCTTCGGTAAAAATTAAAAAATCATCGTTAGTTACGACCTCGCGTTTCGATATTGCATTCAAATGTGAAGTACAGGGCGGGGCTTTTAATTCAGTTAATAGGCGGTTCGATCGCGTCGCGATAGAATTTCCGATTTAAATTTCGCCACAGTGAATGCGCCATGACGACGAAACGTTCTCGTACGCGAACCTTCGCAGCGTGTTTTTCACGGTGCAGTCATTCCGCGACTGGAAAAAGAAAACATTGCTGCTTTTTTCCCAGTGATATCGTAAACAGGATAATTAAGTATGTTTAATCCCGAATAATATACAAATGATCGAGCTTCAACGAATGCTTCGAGTGATCGTACGAGATAGTAGGAGAAAAAATATCTATAAATACGAAAAATAAATCTTAAAAAAACCTTAGCTTTTCGTGAACGCAATTGTTTATTCCATTAAAATCAAAGAATTTGGATTTAAGTGAATATATTATTATTCTCTATTCAACAACAACCAAATAAATATTTTTTAAAGATATTTTTCTCAGTGTAGTGAGAATCATAGAGTGAGATCATTACAATATCGCGATATTAATAGCTCGTTAAAGTATCCTTATCAGCTGAGCTCACGAATATTGCTTCCTCGTTAAAATTTAATTAGGATGCCTCCTTTTCTGGGCTCATGAAGATGCGCTTCGCCAAGATTTAATAAAACCGTCGTTATCGCGACGTTTCTGCGTCATCAAGATCGATAATTTCGGTTAAATAGCAGGAGAAATCGTGTTTCTTATTGATCGTTGCGTCTGTGGAACCGCACGTGAATTACCGGGGCCGGTGAGATCCGGTAAGTGCGAACGGGCGTTATTATCGGGCGGAGGCCATCGTAATAGCGTCTGAATGTCGTTACAACCCTGAGAGCGTAATTATCCGCAGCTGGTACTCGCGCGATATTCTCTAACTCTCCCTAAATTCGCCGCGACTTGAGTGCATTAAATTTTCTATAGCCCTCAAATCGGTTTACGAAGAGCGCGAGGGATCGGCCAACTCTCTCATCCTTTCTCTCAACCGCGCCCGGCTATCGCGTTTTGCGCGCGCTCCGTTTGAATCGTAATAATATTTGTCGCTTCGGTGAATATGGCTCGGTGTTACAAACACCTTAAAAGCGGATATTCGACTTGCTAATACTCGGTAACCAACGAGCGCCGGCGGCTTTCGGTAGGTTGCATTCGCGTTCCAAAGACAGGCGAGAGTGCGTTCAGAATTATACTGTATGTGTTCAGCTTCTCGTCGCGAGGAGCTATATTTTGTCAATTTGTACAATTATCGGACGAATGCTTCGAGTCTCGTTCAATGTACGTCTCCTTGAATTGGAAATGCAACCTTCAAATAAATTTCCATATCTGTGAATCGCGCGGGCTGTACACGGGAACAGCAACATTTGGCGGGAGCGAAGGTGTTATCATTCGCGAATGGAGGCGATTCGTAATCAATTTGTAAATTGTAAAATACCGCGACATCTCGGCCGCGTATCGCTGTACTTTCATTGGGGTGCGATAAACGCCGCGGCGAAATGGCGTGTCGGCTGCCACAGCACTCTTATCACCTGTCGATTATCTTGAAAATTAGCTTTCTTCTGTACCGTTCGCAACGTGCCAGCGGCAGGCAGGATATTAACGTCGTCGGTCGCCGAGGTTTAATTAAAATCAACGATAAAACGTACTTATCGCAGCCTTCTGCGCGCGGCAAACAAAGCTCGATTTTTCGCCCCTCAATTAATCCCCTCTTTTACCCATTCACTCCTCTATTAGCTGAAGTATTATTAATTATTATAAGACGTCGCACTCTCTCTCTCTCTCTCTCTCTCTCTCTCTCTCTCTCTCTCTTATCTGGGGCTAATTTTAACGACTAAGATTATGTAAATGAGACCGCCCGGCAATTTACGGGTAATCGATGTTTTCGGGAGTGGAAAGACAAATAATCGTAAAGGAATATCGATCGCGAAGAAGAAAGTCGTCGTACAAATCGTGCATCTAATTTGGTCGAGAAAGAAATATTTGGAAATTCAGTTGCGAGATATAAATTTTATTCACAGAAATAAACTTCGTATTTCACAAATAAATTTTCAATTGTTTATGATAAATTGTGTATGATAAATCATCTTATTATAGATTTCTGGATGTATAAACTTATAAAGTACTTAAATAGCAAATAACATTTACTTGGATGAAGCAAATAACATTTACATGGATGCAATATGTGGTTTTCTATGTGCATCTTTCGAGCTCGTTTGTAAGGCGCGCCTACCGTCAAATTGTCTCTTTATTCGCGTCAAAATACTCGTTTCACGGCTAAATACATGTTACGCGTCATCGTTTGCGAATTTCTCCTAAAAGACTTGAATCTGTTGGTTCGCAGTGCGGGAGGGAAGAAATCTCATTCCGATGGATCCGAACGGGCTGTCGGATCCTTACGTTAAGCTGAAGCTAATCCCGGACTCGGACAACGTGAAGAAGAAAACAAAGACAATCAAGTCGTGCTTAAATCCAGAATGGAATGAGACAATCATCTTGTAAGTAGTCGTCCTCCTTTTCGGTCCTCCTCACCGATCGGGAGAACCGTAAGTCCGCTCCGGACAATTAGATCTTTATTCCCGGGGAATTAAACTGTTCCGCGAACAAAGAAGCGTCGTTCGCGAGATGTTCCCTCGCTCGAGAATACTCTCCGGCTGTGTTATATCGTGTAATTCGAGACGGCAGACACGTTTCCGCTTATGTTTGCTCTACTGACGAACTACAACCTCGTCCAGGCGAATATCGATTCCGCTGGAACGTTCCCGAATCACGAAACGTCAGAACGTGTTGCGCGAGGGATTTCGGTAAACATCATCTGTTCCCTCGTGACTGAATCGCTTTAAATCTAAATTCGTGAGCTTGATTTCTCTCGTCAGTCTCATCTCGTCTCGATATCAATTACATCACTCACAAAAAGAAAAATGTTTTGCAGTCATAGTGAAAATTGTCCCATGAAAGTTTTATAAAAGTGAATGTGATAGACAAAAAAAAAAGACTAGCGACGAGAGACAAACGAATATATAATTCTCACACTCACGTAAATCTATTTGCAGATGTTGTTAAAATACTACTGTGTAAATTCTACGTATCCTTCTCCAATTTTTTAGCAGATACAAAAAACAGCGATAAATTTTAACTGTGACATTTAGAATTCTAACTAGATCAGTAATTTTTTTTTAGCAACACAATCGCAAAATTTGCTCTCTAGATGTGTTTCCTTTTTTTTTCTCTTAATAAGACAACTCCGTCTCTCGTACTCTGAATCTAAATCCATTAATAACGTGTGGAAAGGTCGTGCAAGTCGGAGGGGCGCATTTCGAGATTGAATTACCGATGATTGGAATTACTTACTTTCGTAAGATAAAGCAACGATTTGATTTCTTCTATTAGCGATCTCAAGTCCGAGGATAAAGATAGGCGGCTGTTGATCGAAGTATGGGATTGGGATCGGACGTCCAGGAACGATTTTATGGGTTCCCTGTCCTTCGGCATATCAGAGCTTATCAAAGCGCCCGCGAGTGGTTGGTTCAAGCTGCTCACCCAAGAGGAGGGAGAGTTCTACAATGTACCTGTTCCTGAGGAGGGCGTCGATCTCGCCGAGCTTAAAACCAAAATGCGGGTATTTATTTGTCCATCTGACGCGGCATCGCGACCCATGTGTCCCGTTAAAATATGAAAACAGACGAGCGTGTTATTTGTCGTGAAATCATCGGGAATTAACGGCCGGTTATTGTCAATAATTTATTTTATTATGATAAAAAAATAGTTATTAAAGTTATTAAAGTTGCTGGACATTATTTACGCGGTGCAGGAATTCAAAGCTCGCTTTAAATAACCGCGTTATATGCCGAATATCGTTCTATTCGAGAGAACAAATACTCGGGTCCGCGAATGTGATTTATATGTACGCGTGAACGTTTCACTAACTTTATGCAGAAAACTTCGGTGACGAAGAAGACACATACATCCCAGGATAAAGACGTGCCGCATAACATGGGCAAGAGCGATCTGATACGAGCCAGCGACTTCAACTTTCTGATGGTACTCGGCAAAGGTAGTTTCGGCAAGGTGAGTCCCGGCGATTGACGGGGAAAATAGCTGTGCGCGAATTCGGCCGTGTCCCGACGAGATCGATTAATTCAAGGTATTGCTGGCGGAGAGGAAAGGCACCGACGAACTGTACGCCATCAAGATCCTCAAGAAAGACATCATTATCCAGGACGACGATGTGGAATGCACGATGGTCGAGAAACGCGTGCTCGCGCTGTCGAGTAAGCCGCCTTTCCTGGTGCAACTACATTCTTGCTTCCAGACGATGGTACGAATACACACACACACACATATCGCAGTCTGAATTATGTAAATTTGAAAAGATCCGAACGATTTGATAAGACGAATTGGCTGAGTCGGATCAAGTATAGTATCGGTATTCGTTTCATATGCGATATAATGAAGAAAAGATTATTCAAACGTTCTTAATGTAGAATAAGCAGCTTGTTAAACGTTGGATGAAATTTTCGCAAAGGAAAGCGCGAAGGGCATGTAAGGGCTCTCTCGTACGCAAAACGATGTGAAACGCGATGAAAGATTAAGTGAACACTTGCTCGCCAAAGGCGGCTTACGGGATCCGCTTTCTGCTTTCCGCTTCAGGACCGTCTGTACTTCGTGATGGAATACGTGAACGGCGGCGATCTGATGTACCAAATACAGCAGTGTGGCAAATTTAAAGAGCCGGTGGCAGTGTGAGTATTTAGCGTCCGTGAACGTGCTCCGCTTTAACTTGCGGATCGATATCCTTAACTCTATTAAAGCGCTGTGAGACGACGTGGGAACGCGCCGGGACGAGAACTCTCGAGCGATTCACGTTGTCGAACTTTCTCAACACGTTCCGAATACGAAATGAAAACCGATCGTACCCGGGAGATGTGTCTCGAGGCGGACGTTTGCGCACGACGATGGCGACGGCGACGGCAGCTTCGTCCTCGTCGTCGCCGTCGTCGGTGACCTTAATTTTTACTCATTAACCTCGACTGTTTGCTCGCGCGTTCCCGGTTATTTTATTCCTTACGTACTCACCGATTCTTTCGCTTGAATGATCGCGCCGTCCGCGTTTGCAGATTCTACTCGTCCGAGATTGCGATCGGTTTATTCTACTTGCACGCGCGCGGAATCGTCTATCGCGACCTCAAGCTCGACAACGTTCTGCTGGATCAGGACGGCCACATCAAGATCGCGGATTTCGGTATGTGCAAGGAGGGCATCACCGGTGACAAGACCACCAAAACCTTCTGCGGCACGCCCGATTACATAGCGCCCGAGGTGAATACTTCACGTAGATCTTATATGTACCGCGCGTTCTCAATTGGTGGCGAGCAGTGAGCGCGTGACATCATTCCTCACGAGATCCGGAGTCGATTTTTCGAATCCATAGGAAGATCGTCGTTCCTTACGCATCGTTCGATACTTGCTTCGATATCGTAGTTGAGCTTAATATTCTGTTAAAGCCAACTTAGATGAGAAACGACAAATAGTGTTATTTATCTTCGCCTTTGAAACTTAGTACGCAGGAAGCCCTCCACTCGAAATGGCTTATTTCTCGAAACCTTTTAATATCTCGATGCTTCCGCTAAGAAAAATCAACTCTGAATGTCGCGAGGAGTAATCGGAATAACCAGGATGATTATGCCATCCAGCCAATCCTCGGTAGTTATCCGGTAAAATACCAGCAGAACTTTAAGATCAACTTATTTTTGAGAATCACGTTGCTCTTCGTGTTTGCGCAGATTATCTTATATCAGCCTTATGGCAAGTCCGTCGATTGGTGGGCTTACGGTGTGTTGCTGTACGAAATGTTAGTGGGTCAGCCACCGTTTGACGGCGAGGACGAGGATGAATTGTTCTCTGCGATCACGGACCACAATGTCAGTTATCCGAAGAGTCTGTCCAAAGAGGCCAAAGAAGTTTGTAAAGCGGTAAGCGCACATTTTGGTGTGTTTGTGATCATTTCTATTGTCGGTTTCCCAAAGACGAGTTCGCGTGTGTTGCAGTTCCTCACGAAGAATCCCAGCAAGAGACTAGGCTGCGGAATGCGCGGCGAAGACGACGTCCGAAGTCACGCGTTCTTTCGACGTATCGACTGGGAAAAGATAGAAAATCGCGAAGTACAGCCACCCTTCAAGCCAAAGATTGTAAGTATCTAGCCGATAGATGAATACCTCTTGTTCATTTCTCGGGAAGAGTATTACTACGTATACTTACTACTAAATACTAAGAGTATTTATTACGGTGATGGTTTGTCGTGCGTTTCAGCAACACCGTAAGGACGTCAGTAATTTCGACAAACAGTTCACCTCGGAAAAAACGGACCTGACTCCCACAGATAAGCTGTTTATGATGAACTTGGACCAGACGGAATTTATGGGCTTTTCGTTTCTCAATCCCGAGTTTGTGCAACATATTTAAGCGAATACTATCTCAGGTCCGTACCCACTCTCCACTTCATTCCTCGTCGTTCATCTTCCTCTTTATCGCTCTCTCATTCTCCTCTCTCGCTCTCTATCAGTTTCTTTTTCGTTTCTCTCTCTTTCTCTCATTCTTTCTGCCTCTCTCTCTCCCTCTCCCTCTCCCTCTCTCTCTCTCTCTCTCTCTCTCTCTCTCTCTCTCTCTGAGTCTCGCTCTAACATTCTCGTGAAAGTGGAGAAAGCGAGAACCTAAGACACTGTCATTTCCGAATCTTCTTAATAAGAGCGCGAGACTTTGATGTATTTGTAAGTAGTCGCGTGCGATAATCGCGTATGTACCATTGCGCTGTAAAGAAGAAAATTGAGGAAGAAAGTAGGTGCTGAAGATTCGTCGAACAAATCCGCGATAGCTGTCGCAAGAGAAAGATGAAGTCGACGGACGGAGAAATAGCGCGGGTAAAAATGTTGCGTTCCTGCATAGCAGAAAAGAAGAAAGAAAAAAAGAAGAAAATGCGACGCCATCGGCAGGAAAGAAAATTTCAAAATCAATGTCTTCGTTTTCTGCGTAATTACTATGCATTTACTTCAGTAGTCTCTACTGTCGCCTTCCAGAGTATATATAATATATATATTGGACGAATGAAAAAATGAATATATGATTATATATACATATACATACAGTCACTTTACGCGGTATATATTGCATATATATAATATATATATACATTATACATATTAAATTTATATCAATATTTCGTTAACGTTGCACTTCTCGTCGGTTTAATCTTCTTAAGTAGCGGATCTTTAGAGCCGGGTCCTTAGATTCTCCGGATTTACGACGGGTTAAGAATTTATTAGTGCTACGTCGAGGTCGACTGTCATATTGACAGACACACACCACACACACACACCACACACATACCACACACGTACGTACGTACGTGCGGTTACACGTACATTTATGCATTCACATTTACACTATCTAGTCTCACAAGACGATGTACGATATATTTTCCTTTCTCCCTTAACCGTTACGGAAGCACGAGTCTGAAATATCTTTTCTGATTTTTCTCCGTCGTCCTTCGATGAGAGCGCGGATATGGCTACAGAAATCATACCCGATAGACTCGTATATAATAGATCAGTAAGTAATGACGGAACGTTTTTCGCGAGACGCGCTGAGCCAATGTCGATGGAGGAAAGTGAAATCACCGCGCGTCGGACAATGTAGAAATGAGGCGGGTCGTATCAACACAATAGTTCCGCGGATACGCGGATGATAAAGTCGACAATATTAAAGCGGCGATGTACGTTGTAGTTTTACTCACCTTTTGCTGATGCGATATACGCCGCGCGCGATATTGAGTGCAATAACGTTTTACGCGGGACGAATATGCGAGAATACACACGACTAATATGTCTCAGACTTTCTGCGATCACACATGTGACACACAATGTACATATTATTTCTCATCGTATGCTCCTCTGAGACGAGATTTACGATCTTGCGTAATAATATATGTTGTTATATATAAATATAAATATAAATATATATATATATATATATATATATATATATATATATATATATATATATATATATTTATATATATATATATATCGTCACGCCTTACAAAAAAAAGAAGGCACTCGCGCGCAAGAGATCATTTTGCGTTCGCAGACAATCGAAAGGATCAAGAACACTGTCTTGATCCACTTAGCGCTCTCCTCACGTCCTATGTAGTTTCATTGGTGCGCCTCTTCTCGCCGAGTCTTCCTGCTTCGTCTCGTCGAGGAGGGTAGGATAGAATAGGATCGAAGGGATCTTAGCGAAACTTGGTATAAGCTAATATAAAAGGATAAATTAAAGGAGAAAGAGTACGAGAAGAGGCATACTCGAGATTTCATGCGATATATTTTTCTCGTCGATCCTGCGTTTCTTTCAGCGCGGTTACGGCGCGCGCACCGATCATCAATATATAGTAACGTTAATGATTATTAATTAATCAGCGCGCGTAATCTTTGTAGATGTAGTCGACAGGCTCGACGAGTTTGGCGACGAGCTTTCCCTTCGTTTTTGTACATCCGGTATTGGCAACTCGACGAGCGACTTCTTCGAGCTTATTCGCGCTAATTACAACAAATTGTACGATATCGCCGAGGAAAAGAAAAGTAACGATGAAGAGGCTTTCTTACGCGAGAACTTTGCTTTAAGGGTGCGGGGATAGGAGAGATCAAATGGTTATATTTTCTTTGTTTTCGAAGCTCTTCGTGGAGCATATCATTGAACGGAAAGACAGTCGCTGTTTATCGTCGAGTTGCGGTATATGTATAAAGATTCAAGGTCGAGCTCGTATCCTTTTTCTCGTCTCGCGTCTCTCTCTATTGTGTAAGCGAAATTCCGGAATTTTTGCCTCGCGACTGAGGCATCGTCGTAACTTTGTCATGGCGGAATCCGGAGCATTCTCGTTATATCCGCGTCATGGATAGAAACACGTTCTGAACACGACGAGTTCGATTGTATGTTTCTCTCTTTGAAAATGTTTAATTACAGTACCTATACACATATACACCGTATATGTATCACCGCGACGAAAGGATGCGGGTTCGCGGGCATTTCTTTGCGACTCGAAGATATCAGTTATTATTGAACGTGTTCCAATAATAAAGATTTAACGTAGCTCTCTCGCCCCTTTTTTTCAGCGGGCGATTCGATCTTGCTCTTCGATCGGGCGACTTCGCGCAGTCTCACCGCGTAATTACGAACACACATACAAACACATTGTCGTTCCAGCTACTCGGGCTCACCGGCGTAATTTTGGAAACTCGTGACTCACGTAGCCCGCGAGTATCGGCGGCAGAATTTCATTATTCCTTCTGCGGTAGCGCGATACGTTATTACGATTATTATGTACCGATCTGTTGTATTATATAATTGCGTCCTTACAAGGAGGTTCAAGTGTGACTCTAGTTTCACACTAATTAGCTCTCTATTTATCCTCCGTTCCGCATTCGTTCAACGGACATTATACACACGATTTCTTGCTTATTATCCTCGATATTATACTTTAAGTAACAATAAAAGAAAAGACGAAATCTCTGTATCTGTCAAAGTGTATATCATTCCACGCTCCGAAAATCCAAACAAACGTGTCTCTCATTTGCGACAGGCACCACGACACGGATACTAAATTTGCGCTTTGTGTTAAACGCGGACCTTGAATATCTCTGCAGGGGGCTGCGCGATCTGCGCCCAAAATCTATTTTTGTACTAAAAAGAGAAATGAAACTCGAGAGGGGAAGGCTGTGTCGCTTCTCCCTTCTTTTCCTATGCGTCTAGTAAAGGTCTCTCGTTCGTCACGATCGTGGCAGTTCTCGTAGCGCTCTTTAGTCTGTACACGATCTAGACGTTTGTAAAAAGACACCGAGTAGCTGATAAGTCTCCGATGCATACGAAAATTCGTGGGAAAGAGAGAGTGCGTTATCCACGGCAAATTTCTAGAAGCGCGATTTTGTGAAGGATTTTCTTTCGTTCCGATTTTAGCCGCCCGTCAAATTACTCTTGTTTATTTGCGGCTGATTGATTGTCAATGACATATTTCTACACGTTGGTGAGATTCGAAAGATAATCCGTTATTTATGAAAATTTAATTCTAAACAGTATATTCTCCCGAAATCCTTACTTTTTTCAAAATTAAGTTTGAATTGTTCTTTACTTCAGACGTTCTCCGTTAATGACATTATATTCTGTTGCAATAGACGCACGACTCACGCAAACATGAAATAAGAAACGCAAGTTTCTTACGTGAAGAAACGCAGATACTGTTTAGAATTAATCACAGAAGGCGTGATATGCTCGTGAGAGATCGAAACACATTCTTAGCAATCTACTTTTGTTCCTGCGTGACTGATCAATGGTTGGTCTAGTCAGATGAATGATGAAAAAAGCGACAAAGTCTTAATGACAAATGTCAAATAAGTTTACAATGGATTTTACAACATTTGTGCTTGTTTTATTTCTCTTAACAGAGATGTGGCTATTATCTCCTCTCGATACAACCGCGATCTCTATTCTCGATCTGTCCATCTTTCTTCCTTTCTTTTCCTCATTTTTCCTTTGATGTTCTCTCTTTCTCTCTCTCTCTCTCTCTCTCTCTCTCTCTCTCTCTCTCTCTCTCTCTCTCAATCTTTTCTAGTCTTGTTCTAGATGTTACACTTTGACCTTTTTGGAAGATAAGGGGTAGAGTACATTTTTATTGACACGATTTCGGGGACCGATATAGCGAGTGCGCGCGCGCTCGTCTGTCTCAGTTCTGAACGGGAAAATCGGAAAAATCTGCGCATCAAATAAGAAATGAATTCTCAAACGAAGGAAAGTAGAAACAAGACGTTGGGAGCAGGGCGACATATTTTTCTATCAGAATCGCGAACTGGGACAATGTTCGTGTACGTAACGCATTCGTAGCGACAGTACATTCTTTTCATTTCATCAAATATAATAAAGTATAGTGAAAAGTTGTTACGTTTTATCTATGTGAAATTATTTGAGGATTAATTTTTTTTTCGCATAACGCACCTCTTGATCTTAAAACATTTACATTTATTTTTCCGTAGAAAGAATTTAAGAAATGCGTTGTGATGAGCGCATTCGGATTGTGATCGTTTGCGAAATTTGTCGAGATGGATATCAGTTGCTAAATATTGTCGCTCTTTATTAATTGCAAATGCTACAAATGCGTGCGTATCGCGCGCGTAATCGCGGAATGTAGTTGAGCGGTTGACTAGCGCGTTAATTAGCTTTTAAGTTAAATAAAAGGAGTAGCAAGCAAAAATGTGAAAATGAAAAAAAGATAACGAGGAAGAAGGTAGGAGATAGAGACATAGAATGTATAGACAAAGATAATACCAATCGCGTAGCTCTATTCATCCTCCCATGCTGTAATTAAAAATCTGTCGTTCTCTTAATTACATGCCCTTATAATACACACGTATTTACACGTACACGCATATTTTTAAGATGTTTTTGTGCATTTATAATGTCGTAATAAAAGTTCCGAATCGTGTCATAAGAAGCTTTGTTTAAAGCCCCTTTAAACGCCTTTACGTGCAAACGATTTTTCTCCCATCGTGTACTTATTTCAAGAGAATTAATGTTTAAAGAAAATATTTTTTGTGCAATACTCTATAAGATTATTAGTAGATTTAAATTTCGTATTTTATGACGCTCTTAATTCGAAAGTTTTAAGTTGGCATTTTTAATACGACTCCACTAATAAAACTTTGAAAAATAATCTATCGTTGCAGTAATCGATCATTACAGTAATCAGTCGTTACAATAACCAACATATCAGAAATCGATACATATTATAGTGTATATTATCGTTGAATCTAAATTGTCTAGAGAATATGGGAATAAAAATTGCATTTCTAAAGGAGATCTTAACAGTTTTACATAAATTTAGGCTTCGGGCTTAGTGAAAAAAAAGTGTCGCTAACAGTTCAGCGAACTACCAGCAATCAAATCATCAAGCATTGACTCGTTCGATGTCACTGACATGATACAAATTATCGCGGAAAATCATGCATGAAATTTTCCATACAGTACGTTTTACGCGCTTGAAAATCCAAAGCCAACTAAAAGGAAGCTGGCGGGCGCTTAGCTCGCGCTATCTGTAGGCAGCGAATAGGCAACCGGTAGCCCTAACTTAATTACTTTTTTCGAATTTTCCCGGCCTCTTCATAAACATATTTTTGCAAGTAAATCACATAGATGATGTTTACACGTGTGTGATATACCTAAACTCTCTTTCATAAATAATCGCATTTTTTATTGCTTGTCACATATTAAGTTATTCTATTTTACGCACATATAACGTGTGTGTTATATAAATTTATAATCAATATTGATTTTTCAAAAAAGCTTTATTTTAAACTACGTCGTGTTACTATGCAAAGGGCTTTAGCGCCGACAATAATTGTTACATATTATTTTAAAAAATCATAAGATTCGACAAAGTTTATACTTTAGAAAAGATTGCAAAAATTCAAGCCAGCTGTAATAGCGAGAGACCGATAGCTCAATTAGAATCATTTTCGCATGACCATTTTTCCCCTTAAACACCGACACTCTTTCGTTAAAGACGATTTATAACAGAGGACATTATAATTGGGCATTCTCATAAATTTACGTTTCTCAAGAATAATATTCACATGTTGTCTCTTACCAAATAATGAAGCAGATGTTACCGTGATGAAAGGACATTATAGTCATCGCATTCCGCGCCAACCTGGAGGAAGCACAAGAAGATGCTTTAAAAAATGGGCAGCTTTGTGAGTGACGAAAATATAAAGACACAAATCGCGAGATATAAGAGCAGTCATGTACTATTCGAGAATCCGTCAGCAATCACACGATAATGCTAACTCGTCTGATACGCGATGTAATTGATACGAACCGAATTAGCACGTTAAAACGCGCGCAACCACTCGAAGCCCTTATAGAAATATCATACTAAGAATCATTGATAATTATTTATTATTCAGTATCTTTAATACTGAAAATAAGTAATTATCAATGATTCTTAGTATGATATTTCTATAAGGGAGGAACGATGTGTTTGCCGCACTCCACGGCTCGACGCAACTAAATGTAATTGAGTTACGGCAGAGAAGCATGAGAGCGGTCATTAGAACTGATTTCAATGACCAGAGCTAGGCGCATTTTCGAGACGCCATCCAACAAAGTGCGCCTTTACATTTGTTAGGCGCATTTTCGAGGTGGTAACGATAAAATGCGCCTAGTTCATGTGCCGTTGTATTTCCATACAATGATAGTAAGTCAGAAAAGGACAGACGTCCAATCGCTCTATTCTTGTCTTATCATTGATAGTGGCCGCTCTCAGCTTTTCTCTGATTAGAGTGACCGGTTGACTAGCCGTGACTTACAGATGGCGCGAGCTGAGTAATCGCCATCTTCCATTTCGTCGTTGTCAAGCCGTCGAGCATGTAGAAGACACGGCTCGTTCGAAAGATTTTATGAGTGTTTTTACACGGTCACACGGATCGTGTCAATGACATCGTGAATTAAGCGAGTTAGTGCTATCGTGTGATTGCTGACGGATTCTCGAGTCATAGCGGTTGCGGTTATATCTTGTGATTTGTATCTTTGCATTTTTTACTACTCATAGAAGGACTCATTTTTCGAAGAACTTTGTTGTGTTTTCTAAAGGACTGATTCAGTGTAAATCGACTATGACGGAACTAGTGTCCTGTCATCATGGTAATCTCCACTCCTTTGTTCATTAAATTATCGGTCGGCTTAAATTTACGCGATATTTTTTAACAGAATATTAATTTTGACAAATCTCATGGCTTTTATATGATACATTATAATTAATATCAGGTGCCCAACCTGTTGTATAGTAAAGAGGCCGTTTAGAAATTTGCTAAAACATGTTTCTAAAGGGTCCCGGTAAATTCAAAAAGAGTAATTGAGTTAAGGCTTCCGGTTGACTATCCGCGACCTACAGATAGCGTGAGCTGAGCGCACACCATCTGTAGGTCGCGGATAGTCAACCGGTAGCCGTAAAGGGACGTCTACATTGGAAGTAAGCAGTAAGAAATAGGAAGTAAGAATAAGAAATTGACCAATCATAATTGATTATTCTTCTCACATTCGACTGTGGTTGGTCAATTTCTTACTCTTACTTTCTACTTCTTGCTATTTACTTCCAATGTAGACGTCCCTTAACTCAATTACATTCAGTTGCGTCGAGCCGTGGAGTGCGGCAAACACATCGTTCCTTCGAATAGTTTCGCGCGTTTTAACATGTTAATTCGGTTTGTATCAATTACATCGCGTATGGGACGAGTTAGTATTATCGTGTGATTGCTGATAGATTCTCGAATAGTACTTGATTGCTCTTATATCTCGTGATTTGTGTCTCTATGTTTTCGTCACTCGCACAGCCGCCCATTTTTCAAAGAATCTTCTCGTGCTTTCTCCAGGATTGGATTCGAGGAATGCGATGACTATAATATCCCGTCATCACGGCTTTATTGTTCGGTAAGTAACAACATGAATATTATCCTCGAGAAGCGTAAATTTATGAGAATGCTCAATTACAATGTTCTCTGTTACAAATTGTCTTTAACGAAATAGTGCCGATGTTTAAGAGAAAAGGAAAAATAGCGCGCTCGGTCATGCGAAAATAATTCTAATTGAGCTATCGGTCTCTCGCTATTACGGCTGGCTTGAGTTTTTGCAATCTTTTCCAATAAAATATAAATTTTATCGAATCTTGTGATTTTTTAAAATAATACGTAATAATGAATGTCGGCGTTAAAGCCTGTTGCATAGTCATAGTCATAAAAAACAGCTTTTTTGAAAAATCGATATGGATTATAAATTTGTATAATATAACAAACACGTAAAATAGAATAACTTGATATATGATAAGCAATAAGGAATGCGATTATTTATGAAAGAGAGTTTAGGTATATCACACACGTGTAAACATCGTTTATCCGTGTGGTTTATCTGCAAAAATATGTTTATAAAGAGGCCGAGAAAATTCGAAAGAAGTAATCGAGTTAGGGCCACCGGTTGACAATCCGCGTCCTACAGATGGCGCGCGTCCGCCACCTTCCTTTCAATCGTCGTCGAGCTGTCGAGCGCGCCAAATACACCGCTCCTTCGAGAGATTTCGCGAATCTTACGTGTTAATTATAGTTGTGTCAATTACATCGCGTATCAAAACGGGTTAGTGTTATTGTATGATTGCTGACAGATTCTCGAATGGCTCGCGATCGCGGTTATATTTTGTGATTTATGTCTGTATTTTCACCAGCTGCAGAAGCACTCATTTTTCAAAAAGTCTTCTCGTGTTTTTTTCAGAACTGGTTCGGAATGCGACAATTACAGTGTCTTGTCATCACGGTAACTTTTGCTTCATTGTTTGGTAAGTGACAACATGAATATTATTGATGATTATGGGAGAAGAAAGAATTTCACACAAGTTTTACGAATATAAGTAATTTATTTTTCTACACTATAATTCTACACTATAATCGACAAAAATTGGCTAACGCTTTGGACTATCCGATATACAGAGTTAGTTTGATTCCTTGTCGAAATTTGGAAGGCGGTAATTATTAATTACCATATATTACAACTATACGTATAGCTTCGTTGAGTTTAAAAAATGTTGCTTCTTAACTTTTTACAAAAGTACCCGAGTCAAGATTTAGCGTCTAAATCCCATCAGTCCCAACGCTTTTTTATACTTTAGCTTTAATTTCGTTATTATAACAAATTCAAATTTAAATTAGAGTGGCGTGCAACATTATCAAATTATAATTATAATTAGTTTATTTGCTTGTACAACTCCCTTTTTCATCTATTTTGAACTTTCAAATTCTAAGTAACTACTTGTAATATCCAGAGTGAATAATAATCTATATAGTATTATGTTTAGAGATTCTTCTCTCTCTCCATTCATCTTTTTGTCTTGGGTCAGAATGTACAGTTAGAATCAAAATTTCGACTCTGGTAGCTCTGAAAAAGTTTTTGTAACGAGGGAATACAAGAGAAATTGCGCTAAAAATAAAAACAAGATAAGTAAATAGAGAAGGGTAAAAGTGATAGAACGAAACGAAATGGAGAGCTGTTGAGAACGTGGCACGTTATTAGAAACTATTAATTAATTAATGCTTGCTTAATATTAATAATCATTATGTCTTCCTATATACAAATTGTTGCAAACGTTTCACTACAGCTATGGTAAACGTCTACTTTTCATGCGCACGCGTGCTACGTAAATATATATATATATATATATATATATATATATATATATATATATATATATATAATATAAAAAAGTGTGTATTCGTTGCGTTTCGAATATACGGGGAGACGTTCCCCTCTTAATCCTATATGAAAGGATAAGAGTCTAGTAAACCGCAGACCCGTGAATCCAAAGATCCGTGTAAGCAGGGAGAGGGGACGGTCTACGGATTCAAGAATCCGCAAGACTGATAAAAGAACGATTTATGGCACGGATGCAAAAGTGAATGCAGAAGAACCATAGACCCACAAATTTCAGAATTTGTCCGCATAATATGAGAATTAGAATTCAGGAAAGTTCGCTAGACGTCTCAATTTAAAAAACGTGAGGAATCCGCGGATATGCTGACATCTGCGGATTTAACGACTCGTCAAGATTCAAATCTGCCGACTTAAGAAATCGCGAGTAAATGTGCGGGCTTACGTAGATATACGAATGCATAGTGCATAGTAGGTTTGGTGAAAGCACGGATCTTACAGATTACAGGAGAGTCGCGGGTCTATATATATATACATACATATACATATATATATATATATATATATATATATATATATATATTTATTTATTTATATTTATACGTATATGTATAAAATCGATCGACACACGTGGTACGATCGTGTTAACGCACTTGGATGTACATGCTATGCCGCGAGCCTGCTCATCGGCCGAAATACTGCACGGTGCTCCGAAACGTTACAAGGCATCGCCACTTTCTGCTACTTACAAAGTCGTTCTCACGATTTCGAGCATACCGATTGATCATCGGTGTGTCCGCGTCGCCCGACAGGGCTCTATTATTAATATTATTATTAGTATTATTATTGTTGCTGTTATTATTTGGGTAACCGTATGCCCCGGTGAAGTACATGTAGAATCCCTAACGCAGCATTACAATGATTAAAAAGTAAACACATCAACTTCTCGCTAATACCGATGAAAATCACTAAATCGCGACAGCATTCGGTTATTCGATATTTCGTTATGTAATATTTTTACATTAATTCCGTTCACGGCAATGTTATGTTTATGTGTCGTAAACGATTTGCGATTAAAGTTCAAAATTAAAGTCGCGCTAAAAAGAATTGAATTCGCTAGATATGAAACGCGAATATAAGAACTATCGTCTGCTGCATCTTGCGTCACAAGATCATCCATCAGTTTCCCGTTTTCCTCGCGTTCTCATGCTAATGAGATGCTTCCTCTCGCGTCTACGATATTTCGCGTGCAATCGTGACAAACACACACATGTACACACGCGTCAGAGATCCATGTTTTCCGGGCGTCATGGCTGCGTCGTACGTGCTGCTGTGACCCGTGTGAGATTTCCTATCGTGCGAACGAGCGAAATTGTCGCTTTGCGGTCGACGAACAGTTACTACTAGGGACACTCGAGTCAGAGTCTCACTGAAGTCAGTTACAAGCGTCCAGACGTGCAAAGGATCACACCTTTGCGTAAAAAACGATTTGGTATAATTCCCGTTCGTTCAAACCGCGTATTTATATAAACTCTATTCTATTATATGTGTCTCCCTTTGCAATGTTTTCCAAATTGTTAACAATATATGCCACGTTTTTAAAGAAGTTACTTGAGATCAGACGAAACAAATTAGGCGTTAAGTTCTTTCTCTTTCTTGAAAACTCGCGATTTTGGAATTGGCAAGATTTTTGCAATCGATCTCTTCTCGATCTTCTTATTTGGTTCAATTGACGATAGAAATCAATGTTACATATCGATCTCTCGTGTTATTACTTCGGCACGCCGTAAAATGTGTAGTTTTCTCCTTCGATAGGAATGAAAAAAAATGATTGTACTCTGGCTTGAGTGCATCCCTAGTCACTACTCAACGTTACTAACACGGGGGCACAGGAACTCACCGTTAGTGCATATTGATACGAAGTGGTGACTAGTAGATTCTCGCCGAGCACTCCGCCACGTCCGGTCTGTGTGCTCCCGCAAGTAGGAAAGAGAGACAGAAAGAGAGAAAGAGAGAGAAAGCTCCCAAAGAAAGAGGGAAGAAAAGAAAACGAAGAGAAAAAGAGAGATTGAGAAAGACGACATTGTGTAAAATGTTGAGGAGAAGAAAGTACCATGAGTTGACGGCTCCAGCGAAAATATCGATTATTTTATGCTTGGTCATTGTCACAGTTACGCGTGCCATAATACAACGTTTGCTTATGCCGACGACGCGTTCGGTCGATTGTGCATTTATTTGTGTTGCATTTGCAGCGCGAACAACGAAACGTTTTCACCCGCATTAATAGTCGATTCTTGTTTCTCATTATAGACGTCGGGGACTTATAAGCACCGCGTGCGCGTTAACGTTGCTCTACGAATAAATAAGCATTTATGAATACGTTCCGAATTAATCCGTCGCGGTATGCGTGCGCGCGTGTGTACGAGGCGTCGCGGAAGAGCTCTGCGTTATCCGTGTTTCTTTGCGCGAAGACCCGCGGGAGCCTTCTCTCAGTCGACTTGATCCTGATGAACATTGATTTCGCATTGATACGGGAATATCCTTTCGTACAACTTGAATACAAGTCGAATATTTAAGTGTCAACTCCATCATCGTCCTCCTCATCTCTACTATTCGCTGTTACTACGGCAGACGAGGGGTAAAGGAGAGAATTACACACGTTCTCGCTCTCTCTCTCTCTCTCTCTCTCTCTCTCTCTCTCTCTCTCTCTTTCCGTCTCTCTAGATACGCACGCAGAGTTCTCAGCGTACGCGTTCCTCAGGATAAAGTTTGTGAACTGAACGCGGCGACGAACAGACGGCGCGATTAGTGTAGGCGGCGAACAAAGTTTGCCGGACCCGTCGGTTGCTCCCAAACAGTCCGACACTTGGTAGCCTTCCGCCAGTGCGGCAACTGGATACCGAGCCGTTGACATTCGTGCACGTATGCTACGAAGGATTCGCAGAAGCAATGCTCGGTCGGGCACTCGCACATGTCCTGAAGGCAAGCCTTGTAGTACATCATTGGGTTTACCTTCTTGTGGCAAGCGTCAAAGATCTGCGACCTCAGCCGATTGCACAATCTACAATCGGCGGACAAATAGCGATTGAGAATTAGCTCTCTCTTTCTCTTTCTTTCTCACTCTAAAAGAGAGAGAAGTCTCAAAGAGATCGTGTCAAAATCATTTTTACAATTTTTACGTAAAAGAAAATAGAAAAAATCGCACTGAGAGAAAAAGTGGTTGATCCAACTAAAATTATAGTTATTTTTAGTCCTGTGTTGTTTGATTGTTCCAATATAAAAATAACAAAAAAGTAGTAGTAATAGCAAGATTATTATCACTAACTCATTATAGTAGAATTTAATAAAAAAAAAAAATGGTTTATACTTGCTCAAAATTTTTAGTAATTATTTCTCTATATGATTATAGTTCGAAATATCAAAGACTCGTTCGAAAGAACCGCGTGTATTACCTATGATCCTTCCTTCCACGGCAACGTCTCTCCTTGTCGACGTTTCCGGACCTCGCTCGTACGCACATCTTCTTCGCTCCCACGGCCCAAGATTGGCCAAACTGCTGCGGATCCTGCAGCAGTCGGCCTCGTCGCGTAGTAAAATCGTCTTTCGTGATGGAATTGAAGTTACCGCAGAGACCGCATAGGCGTCCCCTGTACGATGAAGGTGCCGACACTTCGAGATAGCTGATACCGTCCCAGAGTACCTTGATCCCGATCTGGGTGTTCACAATTACGCTGTCGGTTGTACGGTTAATGTCTAGTCGGTTCGCCACGGCATAAGGAACGTCCACCTTCTTCCCGTTCACCTTCACCCTCATTTTCTGGCCAAGGTTCACTTTCAAGTCGCCGATCTGTAACACGATCGCAGTCGGAACGTAGAGCGGAAGCTCCTTTCCTTTCCTTGCGGTGTCCAGTTTGGGAATGCCCTGGCATCGTTCTGGCGCACGCGAATCTCGCGATTCGCCTCGAGACAAACTTGATTTCGCAATACGATTAATCGAGCTCGAGATGGTCAATTCACAGCTTTACTCACGTACAAATCAAAGTCGTAATGTCTTTAAAAACGTGGACTCCAAATGTTACCGCGAAGATAATTGGTTCGAAAAGCAAGACGTGCAACCATAACGTTTGAGTACTTTCTCGAAGTTCTTTTTCTTGAAGTTACTTTTATCTCGTCCAGCTCGAGAGAAGCAATTTTTTTGTATCAAGAAAAGAAAAAGACATAATTCCCATCGCACTAACCTTGATGGCGATAGTTTTGGTCCACGCGGACGACTTGGTCGATCTGGCGTCGTTGGTCACGCGTATACTAAAAGTACGACCTGCGCAATCACTGACCAACTGATACTTGCACGGTCCCTTGAAGCTGTAGAATTTACCGTCAAAGGTGCGATAGTGCGGGTCTCCGAAAACCGTGCAGACCCCGTCACCTGAAAGAGATGTTCGTCGAGTGTGAATGTCGAGTTGCCGCGGTCGCGGCGTATTGCGCACGTGAGCGCACTTACTCTCGACGCATCGCGCACAGCATTGATCCTTCGGACGCTCCAGCTTCGTGTTCGGCGGGCAAGGTTCGTTTATTACCGGGCACATAGGCATCGCGCAGCGCACTTTGCCCTGTTTGCAGGCGCACGCCTTGCAGGAATCAAGCTTCCATGATTCGCCATCCTGCCTAGGACAAAAAAGAACGTTTAAACCGGAACAGGATGGGATATCCCATGGAGTAACTCGCTAGCTTCTGCTCGTGGGATTTGGCGCGTCGAAAAATTGCCGACTATACGTCCAAGAGTTTCCACTATCGCGCGTGCGTTGATACTCGCCTCGCGAACTTTTCCATTGTAAATGCAAGAGGTTTTGCTCTCCTCGATGATCGGGCATTGCGGGCAACAGCGACCGTGTGTCTGATATTCCCTGGGACACTCCAGCACTGGGCAGGTCTCCTTCGTGCACGAGACCGATGAATTGGTGCAGGTGCAATGTGTGCAGTGATCCGCGTAGAACTGTTTTCCCGAGGTATACAGCATGGTGCCGACCATGCAGGCGCCTTTCGGAGGTGGTAGAAATCTTCTGCTACCTGCATCACGAAAAGCGTCGTTTGATTAGGTCAGTCAAGGATTTGGAAAGAGAAAAAGGGAGAAAGACAGTTGAGAGAGAAAGATCGTTAGCTTTAGTCTGAAGCGACGCGCGAGAATAACTTTTTTCTTTTCATCCACAATAGTCAAAGTAAAAATATTAATTTCCGGGCCGATCCTAAACATTCTTATTATTTTGGTCTTTAAGTACAAATATTTAAACTTTTAACATATAGAGTATATGTATTTTTTATGTTAAAAGTTTAAATATTCGTATTTAAAGACTAAAATAAGAAGAATGTTGAGGATTAGGTACGTGTCCAAGCATTGATATCTACAAATTATTCTCTTATTACATTGTGTGCGAGAGAGAGAGAGAGGGGGAGAGAGAGAGAGAGAGAGAGAGAGAGAGAG